TACTGCTTCATCCAGAATACAAATCATACTAACAGCTGGGAAATCATTATTCCTTTTTCTATCTGGAACCTTTGGAAGAATAGAAATAATAACAATTTCAATAATTTAGACCTTGACCTTCATGCCCCTAAAGTTCTTCAACAAGCTTGGGAATTTAATTTCTTTACTGGAAAAAAACCCCTTTAAAATTCAAATAATTAGGATTGAAGTCAAATGGGAAAAACCTGCTTATGGTACTGTTAAACTAAACATAGATGGAGCTTTTTAAAAAAAAAAACTCGTTGGAAACACGTTTAGGAGGAGTCTTCAGAAGTAGCAATGGAGACTGGATCCTTGGGTTTTACATCAAGCTATGCAGCATTTGCCATGCAAGCTGAATTAATGGCTTTACAGGAAGGACTAAGAATTGCAAGAAAAATGAATTTCCTCAAAATGGATATTGAAACAGACTCCACAGAAATCATCAAACTCATTGAATGAAGACAACTAATATTTTTCTAACATTCTTCTTGACTGTTGTTGATGCACCAACCGAAGCTCCCAATTCTCAGGCAGAACTTCAGAGAGGGAAATGGAGTGGCACACCGCCTAACTAAGGAAGTTGTTAACCACTTCAAACCAGCTAAATGTAGTTACCTTGCTCGTCCACCCCCTTTTGTTGAACTAGAGCTTAATAGGAACAAGCAAGGAGTTAGTAGTAGTACTAAATATCTTCCTACCTCAGTTTGTAATAGCCTTGCCGCTTTGTACAATGATAATATCCTCAGGGACTACGTAATATTTGTGTAATCTTTTGTTTTAGCAATATAATTCCCATTTTACTTTTTAAAGAAAAGAAGAAGAAAAGATGGTAGTGCACCTATGGTTTTTAAATTTTGAATTCGCCTCTGGATAGAGATAAAAGGAAAAGAAAATGGCACGCAATTAATGAAATTTAAATCCTCCGTCTCAAATGCCAAAGATAAAAAGCTTTATAAAATGAGTTAGCCATCAACCTTTTAGTTGTAGCTATTCTTTGATTGTAGAGTAGTTATTCTTTGATGGAAATTGTTGAAAATTGGAACAAGTGTAATTGCATAAATCGGACCTAAAAGTAGACGCCTAATGCTAGCATTAGCCTTTTTCCCGTTCGATCTTGTTCGTCGAATCAACCAACCCCTTACGTGCGAAGTTTCTAGTTTTGGTTTCTTGAGTTTTAAGAGCTAGCTTGACCCCAAAAAAAAAAAGGAAAAATTGCACAAAAGAGGAAAACTTGAATATACCTGGCAAGGTGCTAGTGGGTAAATTTTAAAAATAGCCAGATTTACAACTGGTCGTTTAAAATAGCCCAATTTTAAAAGTAATCGAAATTTAGCCACTTTTTATATAAAGATAAATCTGAGCGAAAACACTGTTCAAAACCCGGAAAATACTCCAGTATATTATGCTGGAGTTCCAACATAAGTATACTTGAACTCCAACATATTATACTGGAGTTCCAGAATAAGTATGCTGGAACTCCAGCATAATATGATGGAGTTCCAGCATAAGTACACTAGAACTCCAGCATAATATACTGGAGTTCCAGCAAGTATATTGGTCCAGTATAATATACTGGAGTTTGGAGCACCGGTGCTCCAGTCTCCAGTATATTATACTGGAGCCAGCAAAGTATACCGGTCCAGCATAATATGCTGGAGGTCATACACAAGTGCACCGAACTCCAGTATATTATGTTGGACCGGTCTTTATTGCAGCAAAATAGTGGCTATTTTTCATTGACTTGGTAAACGCTGGCTATTTTTGATTGACCAATCCGAAAACTGGCTATACGTGCTATTTTTACGGTGCTAGTCTGATTTAGGACGGGCTCTTAAACTTTACATCCACATTCGGGTCAAACACTTTTGTGGCCTATTACAAATTTTTTTTACATATAAGATATTAATTACTTTTACACATAAAAGATTTAAAAAAGACATTTGCTTAATTTCATCATCGTAAAGGGCCATGAAGGCCTATTTCCTCTCCACATTCTAAGGTCGAGGCCTTTTATAAAGTCAATTACATTTTATTTTAGAGAAATTTTCATAAAGCACTATCTTTTAGTAGTACTTAGTCATCTATAGATACCATTTGCTATATTACGAATTACAGATACCTTTTCCGTGGCTATAAGATGTATTTGATGTATTTAAGCTATTGTATTTATGAATACAGTAGCAAAAATACGCGTGAATCAGGGAAGTCCAGCTAATCAGTTGTTGTATTCGAGTGTATTCGACTGTATTCATGGAGTGAAACATGGGATTACAGCTGGACAGATTATTGTATTCGACTGTATTCACGGCGTGAAATAGGGGATTACACTTTTTTAAAACGGAAAGTGAATCAATTAACATAATAGACTCCTAATATAACTCAACAAAGTCAATTATAACACACGAATTTTGTATTTTCAGTTATAAAAAAGATTCTCAACCGAAAGATACCCCAAAAACATAGCAATCTTCAGAGAAATTATATAATACATCTGAATACATAAATTATATTAATTAAAAAATATGTATGAATACATTCATGGTATATAGCGAGACAATGAATACAATGAAATACATAGAATACAGCGGGATACATTGAAATACAATGAAAAAAAAGACAGTGGATACAATGAAATACGTGGAATACAACGAGATACATTGAATTACAATTAAAAAAAAGACAATGAATACAATGAAATACATGAAAATACAACGTGATACATTGAAATATTTTAACAAAAAGTTCAAGTTGCTCAGCCCAAACTCCGTCGTCTTTGTTCAAGAACAAACCCTAGTTTCCGACGAATCCGCCGCCGTTCAAAAATAGAGATAATATTCTAAGATTCAGGTCCTTCTCCTTACTAGTATTAAGATAAAAGAAAGAAATAGAGAAAGTAGCTAGGGACCAACAGACAAAAGCTGGGAACGAAGGCAAATATTTCAGTTCAAAATGTTGATTTGACTTGCGTGATAATAAACAGATGCAAATTGGTATATGGAAGACAAACAATGCTTTCCGGCCCGATTCATGCGTCTCCGCTGGCGGGAGCTGTTGCGTCGCCGGCCGGAAGCACGGATTTTCTGTTTGGTTCCGAGAAGAAAAGAAAATAGTGTGGGTGAGAGGAATTTTGAGATTGAGCATCGTGTTTTCAGGGAATGGAGGAAGAGAATGGGATGTATCAAAGTAGAGAGAGAAAGAAAATAGTGTAACTGAATAGCGTATTTAGTGGCTTAGGGCTAGGAGGTAACCAAAATTAAATATTTTGCTATAAACCTTAAAAGGTATCTATAGAATATAATTTTTTTAAATGGTATTTATTTAAAATAAATAAGGTGTTAACCTTTGCTATTATAGGGTTAATTTCATAAATAATCACTCAACTTTTACTTTTATGTACTAAAGTTACTAAATTAAACTATTTTTATAATGAAAGAATCACTCAATTTTACCTAAGTATCACAAAAGTCACTAAATTATATTTTGTAACCCAAAAAAATAAAAAAATCATACATACAACTTTGTCTACGTATATAGAAACTCATTAGGAGGAAACAAGAGAGACGTTTTTTATGATACTTAAGCAAAGTTGAAATACGATTTGGTTTGAAAAGTTGTTTAGTGACTTATTGTGATTCTTAAGCAAAATTAAATAAGTTTTCGCTATAAAAAATAGTTTAGTAACTTTTTGTGGTACTTGAGCAAAGTTGAGCGATTTTGACATATTTTTTATATTTGGAAACTTTTTAACCATTTTCATTTTAGCTTAGTTATATTCTCTTATGTGAATAACGGCAACATGTTGAATATCACTTGTATGAGTCAAATTTTGCCTTCAAGAAATTTAACATGAAGTAGTGTTACGAAAAGTAATATGGTTGAGGTCGACTAGCGAACAGTGGGGCTCATAGGCGAGCAATTGATAACGGTCGAGGTCACACATCAAGAGTAATAGTAACGGCTAGTTTTGTAATAGAATCTCTAGGAGATTGAATATTCTCTGCATTTGTACCTTTAGGGTTGACTGGGAATATGGCCCATACAAATAGATGGAGAGAGATAAGGTGAGGGGCATGTAATATTCTCTAAAAAGTACATTCTTTAAAAAGCAGACTTTCTCTCTAGATAGAATAAAAACATTACCTTTCAAAAGAGAATTGATTGTTTATCATTCATCATTGTCAGGAGAAGGAATCATCCACCTAATTCAATAGTGGGTTAATCGTTCTGCTTATTTACTTTAATGCCATTTATTGTTATTTATTTCTTGACATTCCCTCTTCATTTATGGTCTTGAAATATTAAATACACGTTGCATCTAATCTTCTTTCAACGCTGTTCTACGTCACTCATATTAATCGATTTTAGATATTAAGTTATTATCATTAACTGGGTTTAACCCCTCCTTATATAAATTTAATTAGTTTAATCAAAGATCTATATTTTTTGGTCAAACAATTTGGCACCGTCTGTGTGGATTTCCTAGCCAAATTTTTAGTTTCATTTAGATCTATAACCAGCACGATTCAAAAAAAAAACTCATACTTCATTGTACACACAGATCTGACATGGAAGGTAACGGAGAAGAAAGAATGAAGGCAGTAGTCAATCTCGCCACCAACCTCTTAAACACCATCAGTGAGGTTTTCTGAAACGGAATGCAAAGATATAACACCTAACGTCTCTCCCAGTCGAGGCAGGTCGCCCGTTCCACACGGCAGTATCACGACGTCCCACGATAAAGGAATACGTCCACAACGGAAGAGGCGCCACCAGTAGTGAAAAAATTACTTGAGTCGTGGCTGACAAACAAGCTGACCAACATCCTCGACAAGCCCGGCCATGAGGCGGCTAGAGAAAACACAAGGACTTGCATCTCACCAACAACGGTCGAGCAACACGGACCTCTCACTCCAGTAACAAGTATTACTCACAATGTTAATAATGCAGGTGACGACACCCTCACATCCATTCTTAAAAAAATGGCAGAAATGGAAAATAAAAACAAAATGCTTCGGGACCAAATGAGAGAGCACCAAGAGAGAGTTGACAAAATACCAGGTGCCCCAAAACTCTTCCCGAAAAGAGATGTTAGTCGGTTCTTTGAACAGCCCTACGGTGATGAAGCTGCCCCACATGCCATACCCAAGACCTTCAAGATGCCGCCATATCTGAAGATATACGACAGTACGACCGACCCAGAAGATCATGTGACTCACTGTGTCACCGTGGTAAAGGGTAATGATCTCGCTAAAGAACAGGTATCCTCCATCTTGTTGAAAACGTTTGGCGAAACCCTCACCGGAGGAGCATTAACTTGGTACTTGCAACTGCCTGCACGCTCCATTGAAACATTCGAAGAGATGGCCGATAAGTTTGTAACAGCCCAAGCTAGGGCCAAAAAGGCGGAGGCAAGAGTGAACGATATATTTGCCATCAAACAATCGGCCAGAGGAGGGTTGAGGGACTTCCTCACTCGTTTCAGCCGAGTAAGGATGACCTTACCTAACGTATTAGAAGGCATGGCTGTAGCATCTTTCCAAATTGGGCTGAACAGGAACGGTTCGAGGTCGACCAGAAAATTATTGAGTCGGCTTATAAAATATCTTCCAACCACTTGGGACGAAATACACAACGCCTATTGTGCCGAGGTCCATGATGACGAAGACGACTTGAATGGGCCAATCCAACGATTGACCTCGGTACAGGCCGAATCCAGGAAGGATCGAAGAAATGATGCCAAGAAAGATATTACAGCCCCTCGACCTATCAGAGAAAGACATCAGCCATATATCATAAACGCCATCATGCCCCATTCCCGCTACGAAGAGGGCCCATCTAGGCCAAGGACAAGGACTCACCGGAATGAGAGAGGTATGCCTCCCTTATTATCCGCTCATAACTTTTGTGTGTCACCCTCAAAAATAGTCTACGCACTGGAGAAGCTCGGACCAAAAGTGAAGTGGCCACAGAAGATGAGGTCAGACCCGAGCACTAGAAAGTCAAAAGTCCTCTGCGAGTTCCATCAAGAGCGAGGTCATAAAACTGAGGATTGCATCGATCTAAGGCAGGAGGTCGTAAACATGCTTCACCAAGGACACCTCAAAGAATTGCTCAGTGACCGAGGGAGGACTAACTTTGCCCAAGGACGTGAACACCAGGGACCGCCAAAACCACTATGACCAACGCGCACCATTCAATTGATCATCGGAGGTGGTGACGACGCATCAATCAACAACGTAAAATTCACCACAACCCATAAACTCAAGCGGTTGATCACTCATGAACGGTATGATGAACTCAAAGAAGTATCATCTTCGATAAGTCAGATACCCACGGTTTGGTTTTCCCTCACTATGATGCCCTTGTTATTACTTTATGATTATTAGATACAGATGTAAGACGCATCATGGTGGACGATGGGAGTGGCATGTGCATTATCCACCCTCGAGTACTTGCACAGATGAAACTCGAGGATAAGGTAGTGCCATGCTGCATCACACTAACAGGCTTTAATAATGCAGTTAAACGAACATCTGGAGAAATCACACTCCCCATCCTGGTCGACGGCGTCACCCTAGAAACCACATTCCATATCATGGATTAGGATATGGCGTATAATGCCATATAATAGGACGATCCTAGACACATGCCATGAGGGCCATCCCCTCCAACTTATACCAAATTATCAATTCCCAACCCCATGGGGGATATTCAGCATACGAGGAAAACAATGCACATCTAGAGAATGCTACCGCATCGCCCTAGACTGTACGACTACCCAACAAATGAAGGGCAAAGCAAAAGAGGCATAACAATTAATAGGGTCGAGGTCGAGCTGTGATGAAAGGGAGAACGTCAACAGAGACCCCGAAATGGTGGAGGCCGCGGAATCAACCATAGAAGACCTCGATCCCGTTCAATTTGATGACAACGACCACAACAAGAAAGATTACATCGGTTGCAAGCTTCAAGAACCAGGTAAATTCCGTCAATTCCTAACTGCTAACGCTAACTTGTTCGCTTTTTCCCATGCAGATATGCCAAGTATCCAAAGGAGATTTCCACATACAAATTGAACGTCCACCCGTTCCACCCCCCCCCCCCATCCCGGTGAAACGGGTTAGACGAAAGTTCAACTCTGCAATAAACGATGGGGTCCAGGAGGAGGTTGAAAAATTATTGCAGAACGGCTCCATCATGGAATCAAAATACCCTTAATGGGTGGCCAACGTGGTCATGGTGAAAAAGAACAACGAAAAATGGCGAATGCGCGTAGACTTTACAGACTTGAACAAAGCATGCCCCAAAGATTCATTCCCGCTGCCACATATCGACCAGCTCATTGATGCAACGGCCGGGCATGAACTACTGAGCTTCTTAGATGCTTACTCGGGTTACAATCAGATCCTCATGGAAGAGGAAGACCAAGAGAAGACTACCTTCATTAACCACCAAGGAACGTACTGCTACAGATTTATGCCTTTCGGACTGAAAAGTACGGGGGCGACATACCAACGGTTAGTCACCAACATGTTCAACGATCAGCTCGGCAAAACCATGGAAGTCTAAAAATAAAGAAGATCACATCGAACACCTGAAGGAAGCCTTCGATATACTCAGGCAATACGGAATCAAGCTAAATCCTAAAAAGTGCACATTCGGCGTGACCTCAGGAAAATTCTTAGGCTTCCTAGTATTACAACGAGGTATCGAGGTCAACCCCGACCAAATCAAAGCTATAGAGGGGATACCAGAACACTTAACCAGCAAAAAACAGGTTCAGAGACTGACTGGCTGTGTTGCTGCATGTCAAGATTCATCTCGCGATCATCTGAAAGATGCCACAAGTTTTTTGGCGTACTAAAAAAGGACAACGACCTCCAGTGGACTTCCTAGTACATCGAATCCCTAAAGGAGTTAAAGTCTTACCTATCATCACTGTCGCTGCTTTCCAAAGCGGAGCCCGGAGAATGCCTCCTCGTCTACCTTGTTGTATCCGAAGTAGCAGTGAGTGCGATCCTTGTCCGAGAAGATAAAGGTACGCAATCTCCTATCTACTACATTAGCAAAACTTTAGTCTACGCTGAGACGAGGTACCCCCACCTCGAAAAATTGGCCCTAGACTTGGTCGTAGCTTCACGAAAGCTTAGACCCTACTTCCAGTGCCACCCCATCTCGGTAGTCACGACTTTTTCCTTGAGAAGCATTTTGCGTAAGCCCGAGCTGTGGGGCAGACTGGCCAAATGGTCCATAGAATTAAGCGAGCATAATATCACCTATCAACCACGAACGGCGATAAAGTCACAAGTACTTGCGGACTTCGTCGCCAACTTCATCGCGAAAATAATGCCCGAAGTCGAAAGAGAAGCCGCCACACTTCTCCACAAGTACAGGATCTATGGATTTTGTACACCGATGGCGCCTCTAATGCATCATGGTCCGGACTGGGACTTGATCTCGAAGTCCCAACAGGCGAAGTGATTCGCCAATCCATAAGGTGCCCGGATATGACTAACAATGAGGTCGAGTATGAGGTTGTGATTGCAGGATTAAGGCTAGCACTTAAGTACGGGGCGAGACGGGTCATCCTACGCTGTGACTCTCAACTCGTTGTCAACCAAGTCACACTCACTTTGCAGATCAAAGAACAAAGGTTAGAAACATACCAGGCCGAGATCTGCAAACAGTTACCCGAATTTGATGAATGCCAGCTCGACCAGATCCCTCGAGCACAAAATATCAAAGCAGACGGCCTCGCCAAATTTGCAGCAGCCAATAAAAGCATAACCGGAGAAGGAAACATGATCACCCTCCTCCACTCATCGATCAATCAAATCGAGGTAAGGACCATAAATCTAACCTGGGACTGGCGCAACCGTATTGTTTCATACTTGCAGGAGGGCGTGCTCCCAGATGATAAAAAAGAAGCCAAGAAGCTTCGAATGCAAGCGGCGAGGCACAACATCATCCAAACGACATATACAAGAGGACGTATGGCGGCCCCTTAGCAAAATGCTTAGGCCCGAATCAAAAGCGACGCGTTCTAGAAGAAGTCCACGAAGGCCATTGCGAGGCTCATTCCGGAAATCGAGCTCTAGTCAGATGTCTCATACGGGCAGGCTACTACTGGCTCACCATGAGAAAAGAGGTCGTTGACTTCGTGAAAAAATGCGAGCAATGCCAAAAATATGCCCCAAAGATCTACCAAGCGGGCGAGCTCCTCCATTCGGTCATCTCCCCTTGGCCTTTCATCAAGTGGGGGATGGACATCGTTGGCCCCCTCCTTACATGGCGAGGTAACGTACGATTTCTAGTGGTTTTAACTGACTATTTTTCTAAATGGGTGAAAGCAGGAACATTCGCCCAGATACGCAAACAAGAAGTAATCACCTTCATATGGAAAAATATTGTGTGCCACTTCGGCCTCCCCAAAGAGATCAGCTGTGACAACAGACCCAATTTATAGGAAAAAAGGTCGCCAAATTTTTAATCAAAAGAATACTCTTCTCGGCCTCAAAAACGACGATTTGGTCACCAAGGCTCGAAACCTCTTTTTCTAACCCCCCCTATTCGCTCTTCGAGCCGCTCCTATCTGAGTTTGGCCGTCTCCAAATCGTTTGTCTGCTCAGATCGGAGAACACGGATTGCGGCCTCCAAAGCCTCCACTTTTGTCGAAGCCGCCGATCGAGCCATCTCGGCCTTCTCCAAATTCATCGCCTTCTCGGCAACCTCGCCACTCAAAGCATCGGCCCTGACCAAAAATTGCTTAAGCTCGGCCCGCAGAGATATCACTTGGGCCTGAAGGTCTACACATTGGGCCTCGACTCCCCTGCTCACCTCGAGGTCCTCTTCCTTATCCCTCAGCGCCCCTTCGAGGATGCTACACTTGCCGATAACCCTCATCAACTCATCATCTTTCTGCTTTAGCTCGTCCCTGATGGCTTGGATATTGCCACTCTCGCCAAACCGCCTACAGATCTCGAGGTGCTTGTTGCGGTATTCGCGATACTTCCTCTCCATCTTCTTAAAAATGGTTTTGTGCCTCTCTTCTCGGCGAGAACTCTCAATCTCCAAAATAATATCTGAAAAGAAAAGAGGAAAAGAAGAAGAAAATCAGTAAAACCTAAGAGTAGAGTCCAAGGCACGAAAATTAGAAAGATAAAAAAAACTTACCCTGAGGGCGAGGCCGGCTATGCCCAATGACAGGACGTCATCATTCAACGTCTCGAGGGTCCTGCCCTCCACATTGGATCAAAGGGGACCTAAGGAGGGGACTATGTACTCTGTATTCACCAGTAAGTCCCGATCCATTGGAACCACAATGGTCCTCGAGGACCCATCTAGCCTAACCTCTACGCGAGTAAACCCCTCGCTCAGCATCCGGACCTCGTCAAGATCTAGATCGAACTCCGTCTCATATCCGTCCTCAGTAACCCCTTCGCCTCTCTCATGAGCAGACATGATGGGAACGTCGACTGGCCACGAGGATGATGGTACATCCCTCGGTGCGGTACCCATGACTTCAACGGGCGACCTGCCAACTCCAACCTCAGCCTCACGCAAAGGCACGCCTTCCACGGCCCCCGCTGATAGTGGAACTTCAGAGGGTGAGCCAGCATCACTTTCAAACACGGCAGTGGTCGGCTCATGATCATCCTTCGAAGAATCCACTGCTCGGATGGTTCCATTACCGACATCCACCGACCTCCTTTTACGAGGAATCAGATCTTCCTCACTCGCGATGATTCTTCTATTAAATGCAGCACGGGAAATGCCGAAGTCTCTATTACTGAGGCCGCCGACGGTCACCTAGCTCCAGTCAAAGCTGGAGGCCGAATCGAAGTGGTCGGCTGGGTAGGCTTGTCCGCAGTTGCAGCAAAGGCGGATCCCGTCGGCCCATCATTAAACTGAGAGCAAGAGCCCAACCGTGTAACAAGGCAAAATAAAAAGACTAATTGGGCTGCCTGCTTCTTAAATAACACGGGTCCACAATGAGTTGATATTACTGGGCTTCTAGCCCGTTAATAATTGCAAGAGAACTAGTTATGTGATCAGCTTGGGCAATTAACAACTTATGCACCCAATTCCCTCAATGATTCCTAATTTTTCAGAAAAAAAAAGGAAAGCCTTTTGAGTTTTCAAATAAAATTGCATTTGCATACTGAATTTCGAACTTAGA